CTGTCTAAACAGAGATTAAAAATGTATAATCTCTTCCCTGTGCTGATTATAATCTGAAATTGTTGCCAGGCAGTGGGACGATTGTACAAAATTTGATTTCTTTAATGGTGTTAGTGTACAATGGTGCCACAAGAAAAGACTAAGCTACTCACTGGCTTCAGATCCCAAGATAACACATGCAGTAATGCACACTGACAGACAGACAAACATGGGCCAGGCATATCTAAACTTAGGTTTCCCATGCGCAGTTCACTCAGTGCCCTGTTCTATTCTAAGAACTTGACAGAAAACGTGCCAAGTTGAACCAGCCGGGAAGTCAGCGCTGCGTTACTTCCTCTCAGATTCAAACTAAGATACCAACCCAAGGGGACATTTAGGTCTTCACACACATAGAAAATAATGTAACCTCTCGACCTGTGTATGGAAGGGTGGAGATGTTTTTTAAGATATCCTCTAAGAACACAGGTCCAGTTACGTAGGCGCTACTCAGTGAATGTGTGTGCGCTTTCTTGGCCGTGTTTTTGTCCAAATTTTGTGTGTTGGTTTGCATCCTGAAAGTGGATGATGGAAGTGTGAAAAACAGGAAAGCAAACACAATTTTAAGGGTTTGCATAACAAGGGGTGGAGGATAGAGTGTGTTTGTTTTTTTACCTCAAGAAAACAGCCAAGTGATTAAAGGTCATTTAGTACAAATAGTTAACTGATTTGCAACAAGGTTTATAATTTTGTCAAAATATTTCAATACAGAACAGAAACTTTAATTCTCTCTTATCCTCCCCGCAATTTTACCTTTTATGTGACACCTAGTTAGTTTCTACATAAATGTCTTTTATATTAACCTTACATACTGGCATTAAAGGAGATGCAGTCATGTTTTGTTTTACCCACTTCCTAACAGAGGCATTAGGCTGTTAAAACCAAACATCTACATACCCAGAATAAAGAGAGATACAACCTTTTGTAGATTTTCACTGAATAGATTCAAGGAATTAAAAGACAGAGGGACAGATGGACAGACTTTATCTGGAGTCATAAAGGTCGTTGGTTCGGTCCGTCATAGTATGGGTGGATCCACCTTCACAAAAGGTGGGTCATAACCAAAAGGACAAGATCCCTAACATATACAGTAGATCAGGAAGTGAGCTACCTCTGCTGGATGGCTAGACTTATTTTTGATGGCTTGAATACACTGTTTGATTTAGGGCCATCATAGAAGAAACATGTCGATCAACAATATGGAAAAATCTTTAGTGATGACTTTGAAATGAGACAAGTTCAAGGAGAGTGGTGTCAGCATCCTGTGACCAAAGATAACCTGCAGTAAAGTCTCAGATATTTGGAATGTCACTGTGACAGCTGCTAGAACCTATTTCTATCAATCAGCTGATAGAAGTTCACTTTTCATCTCATCGTTTTATCGGCATGCAGTCCTTGTATTTGGGTCTTTTTCACTTTTCATCTAATCAGATCTATTGAAAAATTATAGAATATAGTTGATATACTGTAAATGCTAACTGCTAATAGATAAAAAGTAAAATATGAAGCTCCAATTCTGACAGCGACATCCCAATTTGGCCTTTTTTCCGTGTTCACAACCTTTTCCACATTCTCCTCCTTCCCCTGTTCAAAAGATTTGCTCCGTTGCAATTACAGGCTGCAACTACTACTGTTTTATTTTGTCTGTCTTGGGTGGCAGGTCACATTAATGAAGTTGATTATTGTTGCACGCAAAATAAATACTAAGCAATTGTTAAATGTGCTCATATCAAAGTTGATGCTGAATTAAAGTTTATCTGATCAATTTCACATAGTTTGTGATTCAAAAGTTGTATATTCTTGCTAAAATCTCACAGTTTATAAAGGCCATTAGAAGTTTAGAGTTTCTTCATTTAGGGAAACATTTTTAAATAGTGTTGTGTCTCTGTATAAAAATGGGGATACTCAAGTATTTATATTTGCTTTGACAGGGGTAGATTTATGAAATTTGGGGCCCTATGCAAAGACAGGCAGGGGGCCCTCTGAATTGAGGAGACAACACATGAAACAGACCCATTAAACAGATACAGAAATTTTAATAGAACAGACATACATAATTTGTTCTATATTTTGTCCCTCTCTTCTTGTCCCTTTACTTGTTGTTTTCCCATATATGTTTTGTACTCAGCTGTCTTTTTAATGCTGTCTCAAAAGTAATGAAAGCGCTAAGCTCATTTAGCTGATTGCTCCTTCCTGTGTTTCCAAAAAGGCTACGGCAAAAGTAAATAACCCAGTCCTCATTTTCACTGTAAACAAGCCATGATCTGCTTATCTGTTCTTTATTTTTTATTTGTATGAAATAATAGCTGCATGAATCATGACAACAGAAGAGATAGAGGAGACTGGGGGCAGGGTTATCAATCTACTTGCTCTGGAGACCAGAGTTCGGTGCTTTAATAGGTTGTTGCCAAAATCTCCACAAGCAGAAAAAAGTCGCTAGATATGGCGCTAGATGCTTTTTTAAAAATAACAGTGCTAGAAGGGTCTGAAAAGTCGCCAAATATAGCAACAAATGCGCAAAGTTTACAACACTGCTCTTTCCATCGTTTGTTTTCAAATGGTTTGCTGCTGTTTGTGTGGACCAAAAACAAAAGATGTAATTAATGCGCACAAATAAGGAATAGTTGTATGAATCATACATGTAAACAGAGCTTTATGGGACCCCCAGGAACGTGGGACCCTAGCAACTGCCTAGTAATGCCTTATGGTAAACCCCCCCCCGGTTTAGAATGACTCCTTTTGGTTTGCAATTTTCACTTTTTTGGGAGGTCAACTATCGGCAAATGTAGAACTTGCTTAGATTACAACATATCTGCTGGAAAGAGATGGAGAATATCGCTGAAGAGGGGTTATTGCGTTTATTAGTTTGGACTGGTAACCTGCATCATTTCAGCCTAAGAGTTGGAAATTGGAATAATAGCTGGATAGATCATCTATGGACCTGGTACTGTGGGACAATTGGTGGTGTTGTGTCCAGCTGCCTCATGAACAAGACAATGAGCATTGTTTTTATTTCCTACAGATCTAACTTTGTGTCTGGATCTGTTCCTCTTTTTCCTTAAAACTGTTAAAAAATAATGATAAGGTCTTTGTCAGCAACCAGTGATGATTCAAGTCCCCATGTGTGCTTAAAGTTCGTCACGGTGTCCTGAAATGGCCTGTGTATAAATAAGCCGAGCTGTATTTAGGTGTTCAGATTCCCTCTGTGGTTGATAACATATTCTGGTTGTTCATTGTTCCATTTTCTGTCTGACAGGCAGGAAATCAGAGCACAGGACTTCATGTTACAGGAAGTGATAGAGAGATAAAACACACACACACACACATAAAGACATTGTTTATTTGTCATCCGTATTTGAGAAAAAGCAGAACTATGGAAAAATCACCTCAGTCGGACCTTTCCCTGTATGATCGCCTCCGTCACTGGAACCACCAGTCCTAACAAGATAAAGGGTTTTATTTGAATAGGAAACAAGCTTTGAAATTTTGCTATAGTTGGATCTGAATAGTTTTGACATAATCCAGATTTGATACAGTCATTGAGTATCAATAATGCCCTATGCAAGACAGCTCAAAGGGCAGCTCAATAAACATGAAGGAGTCATTCCAGTCTGTGATCAGTAAAGGCGGATCCCTCTCCATAATATGTTTAATAACAGTGATACAGTGCCAGAATATTATTAGATCTGAATCTTTTTATGTATCAGTATGATGGCAGAGTGATGCTGTTGGTTCCCTTTGTTCTGCAAAACAGGAAGGAAACTCCATGACAAACAGGGATAGGATTTCTTTACATCTCTTTCTACATTGCCCCCAAATTTCTTTCTTCCAACCTTGAAGATAAATTATTTAAGCACTTGTTCTTTTTTGTTGACGTTTTTCGAGTGATAATTGATACTGAGGTTGTGCAGAGATTCATATTTCCCGGTCTAAGCAAAAATAAGGTATATTAAGACTTCACTTTAAAAGTTATGGCAAGTTTTTTAAAGGTTTAATTTTTCAAAATCATGCAGTTGCATAATAATTTTACATTTCAACTCAGATTTTTTTGAATGTTTTAAAAATGTCTTTGAAAATGTTCTAGTTTAGATCACTTTTTGCTGTGTTTTACTTAAAATATTTACATGTCAAATAATCAATCCAGACAAATATTTCAAATACTGCGCTTTCTAAAAAAACACAGTATGCCATGCACTACCTTTGGTTGTTGTCTTTTGTTTTAGCTGGCTGTTTTCCTCCTGCTGCTCTGCTCCTCTCTGTTAATTAGGTGAGCAGCTTCACCTGCGGCTGCCCAGTTAGCAACAGATATGTTCCACTCTCAGTCTCCACCAGATTGTCTTTTCTTGTCTATTCCAACTCATTGTCTGTACCGCCTGTTTTCCTTGCGTTCCTGTGCCCACGCTGCCCCACCTGGTTCTCATCCGCTTCTGTTTGTGGTGACCACCGGGACTCCCTCTACCTGCTTCCAGCCTGTTCAGCCTGTTACCAGCCTTTTAGCCATCTCTTGCCCTTCCAGACTACCACCACCCTGTTAGCCTGCATTTCCAGTTCAGTCTATCAACCATAACTTTAAATGAACCTTTTATGCACAACACGGCACCTTGTTGTATTATTGGGTTCGCTTTCAGTTTCTTTATAGCATAATAGTCTTTAATGAATTCTTAGCTACAATGTAATCTTTTTTTTAATGATTTTTTGGCCTATTTCTAGAGAATTTCAACATTATTCCAAAATTAAAGTGACCATCGAAAATATGCAGACAGAAGCAAAGTATGAAACGTCTATGTTAAATTCAAGAAAATCTACAAAAATTTCTAATATTGTACTTTGGTTAAACGCTGAAACAGTTAGTTCTGAGTTTGTGTCCTAAAATCTCTCTACATGCATATGTAAAGGTATTGTTAGCTACGGTCTCTTTCTTGTACTATATGCAATTTATCTAACATTCGCTATATTTGTTTCAGGGTCAAAGAAGAAGACTAAGGTCATTAAAAACAATCCCAACCCAGTCTGGAATGAGGTGAGTTTTATATGTAACTTTGTGATCTTCAACAATTTTGGTTAAAAACATGTATTTACAAAATTATGACAACAAAAAGAAAGGTAATGTTGCTTGTAGGCATGCAAGATTTGCTGTGCCAGGAACTAATTACGTAGATTTCTTTTTTTTCTTTTTCTTTTTTTTTTAAGAACAAATCTGACTTGTGATGCATTTTTTTCCCTTTACATTTGCTCAGGTTTTCATTAATATTTTTACATCCATGTTTTTACATGCAGATTTCGGACTGAATGGAAATGTTTTTTTTTTTTTTATTATAAAAGCTATACCAGAAATTTGTTGAATAAGGAAACACATTTTTAAGCAAAGTCATTTACATTACATTTTTTTGCAAACAGCTACACTCCAGTAACAACATAGCCGACTGTACAAGGGGAATCACACTGTCATGCAAAGATGACTCTATAATCATCTTTATCACATCTAGGAACAGTTCAGAGACAATGTTAAAGTATATATTATATTTTGAGCATTAAATGTATATTTTAACATGCAGTCATAACATTTTCATGCTATTGTTATGTTGTGTCCACTCGTTAGGGTTTTGAATGGGATCTGAAGGGGATTCCTCTGGACTCTGGAGCAGAGATTCACTGTGTAGTCAAAGACCATGAGAAAATGGGAAGAAACAGGTACAAAAAGCCTAATTTTTTCAAATGCTTTTATATAAGTTAAATATGTATGTATTTAATAGTCAACATGGGTGAATTTTTTGACAAATTAAATTCAATTAAAAAATATTTTAGAATCCCAAAGAGTTTCTGTGCACAAGCCTTCATCTGGGGCTGACACCATCCAGTTTCCTCTTCGCTTGACTTCTGAAGACAGACAGGTTGTAGGGGGAGGGAGCAGCACCAGCTCTGAATAAACACATAGAAACAAGAGGGTTCACAGTAGAGGTGAAAGATGAAGCATTTTAGGTTTAACAGAGAAGCTTTGGGTATAAGGAGGGAAGGATGTCCATTTGCTTGTGGGTAGAAGGGAAGGATGCTGAGCATGTTCCTGAACTTAACTTATTGAAAAATGTATTTAATTTATTGTCTCTGTCCCAGATTTCCATCTGTATCATCCACCTTTAAAATGAAGCCTGAGATCTTTTTAATCCCTGACCACATATTCTGATATGGTTCTGTTGTAGCTTGTTTTCCAGCCTCATTCTGTATGCCTCCTCACACCTAGACCTTAAGTTGCTTCTGTATATTTCTCAATATGTCCATGTCCCCCATCCTGAAGGTTCTGTTTTTTTCTTGTTTAGCAGTTCCTTCCAATCACCAGTCATCCAGGGCTTATTTTCAGGGAAGCATTTAACTGTTCTGGTAGGGATGATGTTATCTACAAAGAAGTTTATCTAGTCAGTCACAAATTCAGTCGTTGCATCGATGTCCCCTCCATGTGGCAGACACAGTGCACCCCAGTTGGTACCCTTGATACAACCTTGCAGGGCTTCTTCAGCTTCCTTTGACCATCTCCTTACAGTTCTTGCAGGTTGTCTCTTTTAAAGTGGCTTATACTCTTATTAGAGAAGAACACAATTTGTCTTGTAATTTCTTACTTCAATGATTGATGTAAAAGATGGCTTGATTTTTTTTTGCTCCTCTCTCTTCACATTGCTTCTGCTCTGGGGGGGTGGGTGGGGGGGGGGGGGTGTAAGAGAACAGAAAGAAATCATATACAGTGATGTTATTTGCAAAAAAATTATAATAATTGACTTTCAATACAGCAGTCTAGGCCTATACAGTATGTACATCTATAAGAATTAGGATTTGTTTAGAATTTGTTTGAATGGATCTTGATGGAAGCTTGACCAAATTCCTGAATGGATTTTTTTGTGGTAATCCACATTTTAATAACACGTTTTATTCATTCCAGTGAACCTTCTCTTTGTTTGCTGTAATACAGCACTCTGTGATAATCCGGCCTCTTTAACAATTAAGTTGTGTGGCTTATCCTTCCTTTATATGGTGTAAATGAGTGACATCAGACAACTACCATGTCAGCAACTTCCAATAAAATTGTGTTGACCATGACATAGAATTTAATCTTTAAAAATAATACTCTAATGACCCTAATTTATATTCTACCTGGTTTTTATGTTTCCATCCTCTAAAAGAGGTACCCAGCTTTTTAAAACTACAATAATGATAAGATTGAAATATTTTAAACATAATTATAGCCAATATAACAAAAAAATCACCTCCCACTCTACTAAATATTTAGATACTGCATGTCTTAAACGAAGTCCCTTTATGGCAGCGTACTGAACTATTAGGTCCTGCAGCTGGTCAGTAGAAACTTTATATGTAATGACACTTTTGTTTTTACTTTGCTTTCATTTTGGCCCAAAGTGAGATATATGTAAATGTATGTTTTTAAATTGTATTAATATTCCTATTGTATACTGTAATGTTCATTGTTGTCAGAGGATCCTAAGTCCTGCAGAACCAGATAATATAAACTGAAATATTAATAGTTGAAAAATCCCAATGGTTGTTATCTGAGTTTGCAAGGACTACAGTCTGTGTATTGAATTACTTTTCCATTGACTCACTACTTCCTTGTATCCATCTCTCTATGGCAAACTGTTTATCCATGTCAGGAAACTATGATATTGTGTATTGTCTACTCAGAGGGTATTTCCTTTGTCCTTGAAATGTTAAGAAAAATCAATGAAAATGTTTTCCTTAATTGGTTTCATCAGGTTTCTGGGTGAATGTCGGCTGGGTCTCCGAGATGTTCTCAATTCGCCCAACTTTGCCGCCACCTTCACTGTCTCGCTACTGGACACAAAGAGAAACAATACAGGGGTGAGCCCTTCAAACCCTGCACCTTCAACATGTTGATCTTTCTGTCCCATGAGTGCAAGAGGAGATATAAAGCAATCTAAAGAGCATATCAGGGATTTAGAAGGAAGAAAGATTTTGACGTTTCCCTTATATGATTCCTACATTTTCACTTTGGTTCATAATTCCTTTGCTGCATCACTACAGTTGCTGTATGAAGTGTGTTTTTACTTTTACCTTTAGTGCTATCATTTGCCACTGTTGTAGAGTTGGTTTCACGGTCGGTATTAACCCATTGAATGCTTTGCCTCCACCAGGCCACGCTGACCCTGCAGGTCTCCTACATCCCTCCTGCAGGATCAGCTCCAATTTTCCATCCTCCCCCACAGCCCGAGTCTCTTCCTCACAGCAATCCCAACATAGAGCTGGACACAGTTACAAGTAATATGATCAGTGTTAAAGTTAATCAATAATATTACAGAGATATTTTAGATGACACCAGTTGTTTTTGACCTAATAAAAACTGTCCTTATGTTCTCCATCTGGCAACTTCTGCCTGAAAAAGTGATTTCCCTGGATACTCTGGGTGAGGAGGACACAGAGAGTATGATCATGGTGGAGCCTGCAGAGGACCCAGGAATTGACGACAGCCGCTCTATGGTGATTGTTGGCCCCCAGGGGCCTCCAGGGCAGGAGTCTCCCACTGCCCACACACCCAAACGCTCCCCACCAGCCTATAACACCCATGGAGGACTGAGGAAGAGGAAGAGAGGAGCCAGCAGTCAGCCCAAACAGCTGCCTAACAAACCTCAGGACATACAGGTTGGGTGTAAACAAAACAATAAAAATAACTCACAGCAATACTAACTTCATATGTTTTAAATCTTGTTTTTAAGTCATGTATCTGTAACATTAAAGTAAAATATATTGCAGTGTTAGATGACTTCAAAAGCTTCTTTGTTATAAAAGTCATATCAGATATGAGTTAATATTGAAAAGTCAAGAAAAAAATGGTCCGTTAAAACCTTTTAGAATATAAATGCAAATTTAAGGATAGATACAGTAAAACAAAAACAAAAAAGGAACTGGGTAAACTACAAATGTATGGAACAAAATAAAACATTTTGAAATAAGGCGAAGAGAAATCTAAACAGAAAGTCAAAGAACTTTGAACAAATGTCAGGCTTCATATAATGAATTCCGGGTGTGTAATGCAGATTAACTTTAGCAGAATTGAAAGAAGGATATTACAAAAATATGTTTAATACAGGGCTCTGCCTCATTGATTTACGTTAAGTTTATATAAGGCTTTTTTTTATAAGGCTTTTTCTGATCCAGGAATGTTCTCTATGCCCTAAATCCTATGAATATAATGAAATTGTATCTGATACAATGATATCATGATACAATACTGTATATATATTGTTTATTCTTAATGCACCTTTTTCCTCCTCGTTTTCACCGTCTTTAATTACTATACCAATATGTGACCAGTGAATTTCTCCGCTGTGAGATCAATAAAGCTAATCTAATCTAATTTAACATGCTGAAACCAGCCTACTGCTGTTCCTTTGATCCCTATTTATGAGGTTTCAAACTCAAATCTATGAGGGCCAGTCTCCTAAGATCCCTTCCTTGACCTACTCACTTGAAAAGAGAATGGATAAACTACATCATTATTAGCAGGTGGTCTCTTGTACTGCGCTCATACTTTACACTAGGTGTGTTAAAGCAGGAAGATGTCAACAAGAAGTTACATTGGTCCTCAAGGATTTGAGTTTGAGACCCCTGTTAGAGCATGATTGAACCTTTGTAGGACATAACTGTAAAAAGCTCCTCTAAATTTTACAATAATCTTTGAAAGAAACATAATTTAAACTTGTCCGGCATCAGTCACTGATAAAATATCATTAGTGATTATCATATACCTTAGCTGTAACAGGTTCTTGAGTCAGACAAATGGTTTGACCTGTTTCACAATAAACACTTTTTGTCAACTTATTTTTTTTACTGACCAAATTTTTCAAGTATGTCCAGTTTAAGTCTTTTTTTTTTTTGCTGAGCACTTAAAAAACCCTCTCTTTTCAGATTCGTGTTCGGGTCATTGAAGCACGACAGTTACCAGGAGTCAACATCAAACCTGTTGTGAAGGTCGCTGTAGGCGGACAGTCTAAGAGGACCCGCATCAGAAAGGGAAACAACCCGGTCTTTGATGAAGTAAGCAGCTCTTCCTGCCACTATCCTTCTGTTCTGACGTCATGCGTCTGTTAGTCTCCCTTAAACTGAAATATTTTCCGGTTTCTATCTGCAGACATTTTTCCTAAACTTTTATGAGACCCCCTCAGACTTGTTTGATGAACCCATCTTCATCACTGTAAGTTTAGATTTTGGTTTATGGAAGCATTTAGCAAAATGTTTGCGAGTTAATATGACGAGAAAAATTAATTTTAATTCATAATAAAGATTTTGATTGATTAAATATCTTCCTCTACAGGTGTGTGACTCTCGCTCACTTAGAACTGATGCTGTGGTTGGTGAATTTAAGGTAAAATACACCTTAGACTTTCTATTTATGTTTTTACACAAAGTTCAATAATGACAGCAAATCCAAGGCTTACCTAAATCTAAAATCGATTCTTGCTTTCCACAGCTGGATGTTGGCACTGTGTACAACGAGCACAGTAAGCATGTTTTTTAATAGTCCTCAGGTTGTTATTAATAGAGTATTTTGCAGCTATAACCCACACACTTGTTGCTACCTTTCAGGACATTGCTTCTTAAGAAAATGGTTGCTGCTGTGTGACCCTGACGATCTATCGGCCGGGGTCAGAGGTTACCTGAAAGTCAGCGTCTTTGTCCTGGCATCTGGAGACGAACCACCGGTGAGAATGATATTGAAAATTGGCAGTGACATGGTTTTTTGCAGGAGTCCTAAAAATAAAAACACTGACTACTCTTTAGATTTACTACTTTCACTTTTACAAGAGGAACATTGTCTGCTTATACAGATTGCTACTATGGTAACAAAAACTTTACTTTGCTCTGCAAAATATGGCTCTACATTACTTGGAAATACCTTATATATTAAAATTGAAAATATACTGTATTGTCACATATTTAAAAGCCCTATGAGATTAATAAGATACTGTAATCTGGTATTGTAAAGTAGGTGTTAATAATACTGCACTGGTGCATATATATTTGTAAAAAAGGTACCAGGATGCTGAGTGAAATCCTGTTCAAATCCAACCATCCCTAAATGTCCTCCAGTGGAAGGATAAAAAATTAAAATAAATGTATGAAAACTTAGTGTGTGAAAGGGTCTTGTGATCCAAGATCCTGAAACATCTAAATGCTAAAAACCCAGAACACCTGAATATTTTAAAAGGTTGAAAGTTCTGTCATTCAGGAGAGGCTCTGAGTTGAGCCTCTGCTCCTCCACATCCAGAGGAGTCAGCTGAGGAGGCTCAGATAGGTGGAAGGTGCCCCCTGGACACCTTCCTGTGGAGGTTTTTCAAGCATGTCCCACCGTTAGGAGGCCAAGAGGACAACTTAGGATACAATGGAGGAATCGTGTCTCTTGACTGGTCTGGGGGCCCCTCAGGCTTCCCCCAGCAGAGCTGGAGGAGGTGTCTGGGCAGAGGGAAGTAATAGCTGCTGATATCGCTGCCTCCACGATCCAGTCACGGATGTAGCTAAAGACGATTTTGCATATCGGTATTCAACATTATTGATATTGGCCTAACCCTTTATATTAATGCATCCCTAGAGTATATGAATGAATGATCTGATTAACCTTTGTCTTTGTTGTAATAATAAAATAATAACAGAATTAGTATTAATCCGAATTTAAAACAGGCAAATTCTACACATTGTGTATTTAAACATCTCTTGTTAAAAAGGTCTGTTTTAAAGGACAAGAGGTTCTTTCCCCCCAAATACCAGTCGTCATTTAGATGTTGGTTTTTAGGCTACATGTGAAATTGTTGAAAATTGGGCTGTGTCTGGTTTTTCTGATTTTGTCCCAATTATTAATAATAGATGTTGAAAACTCAGTTTTCAATGTCTTTTATTATTAGTTGGGTCTTTTCAATTATCTGAAAATTATGGATTTTAACCTCTCACTTTTCTACCAAATGTAGACATCATATCGATGTAAATCATGCGTCAAACTTTTGCACATGGATTATATGGTAAAGAATGGTTACTGCTATGCAAGATTAAACACTGGTGTGAGAAAATAAAAAGCATAAATGCATACAAATATTCTATTTGGCGAAATACACTAACTATGAACAAATTCACTGTGGTTTCCTAATTCTTTCAAGGTAAAAACAGCTGTCAGAAAGAAAGCCTTCCCTTGCTGTAATTGTTAATTTTCTTGGTTTTGATCTAATCTGCCGATATGCTGTGTTCCCAGGCTGATAAACGAGAGTGTGTTGAGGAAAAAGAAGACATAGAAGGAAACCTGCTCAGACCAGCAGGCCTTTCTCTGAGAGGAGCCATCTTTACACTGAGGATTTTCAGAGCTGAAGATTTGCCACAAAGTAAGTCTATATGCAGGCTGTTTATTTTTCTCTTTTAAAAACGTAATCTGACGAAGCTCTGACATGTTTGTCTAGTGGACGATGCCTTCATGGATGGAATGAGGCAGATTCTTGGGTTTGATTCCAACAGAAAGAACTTGGTTGATCCAATGGTGGAGATTAACTTTGCTGGAAAAACGGTCACTTTTCTCAACGACTTTTCTATCATCATCTGTGATCCAAACCTTTGATTATGTCATGTGAAGCTCAATACTGCTGATGGAGAGAGCTTTGTTTTTATCTTTCAGGTCTGCACAAAGATTCTAGAGAAAAACGCAAACCCTCAGTGGAACCAAAGCCTAGCAATGCCCATTAGAGTGAGAAGCACAGACACTATTAAACCAAGAAGTGGTTGAGCACAGAATAAATGTTATACATGTTTTTATTTCGGTTTCTTTTACAGTTCCCTTCCATGTGTGAGAAGATGAGGATCCGAATTGTAGACTGGTAAATCCAGACATAAATGACTTTCAGTGACCCACTGCTATCAAAGAATTGTTACCGAAGAAATTTTCAGGATTGTTTTTCCATTTTAAGAAGTAAAATATGAAATCAGATAGAGTAGTATATTATTTAATCTTATTTCCTTTAATAGAGAAAACTATTTCGCAACTCTTTTCTCTTTAAGGTGGTAATTAGCAGTAAATAAACTTCTGTTACTGTAATAAATCACTGGGTCCTACTTCAGTCTCATCTAGATGGTGTGTGCTGCATATGATGAGACATTTTTACACTTTTTTAAATCATTGTTTTAACTAAAAGATAAACACATCTTTATCTTACCATACCCTTTTGTTCAGAAAATTACACACTGATACATTTGGCCTTAGGAGTATGTTTAACAGCTCTGGGTTTTTCTTCCCTCTCATTTCAGGGACAGAGCCAGTCATAATGACGTCATCGGCACCACCCACCTATGTATGTCCAAGATATCGGCCCCAGGAGGAGAAATTGATGGTAAGTTGCTTGACTAAAAGTACCTGAAATTTAGTCTGAACTGGACTAGGCCTTCCCAGCAAAACCTTAACTGGACTAACATTCATGGAGAACCTGGACCATGACAAGTAGTCTAACCAAGTCTCTTTTGATCAAAGTCTCTTCAATCCAAGTCAAATTTCCCTATTTTTCCACAACAAAAGTAAGTAAATCAAATAAGATTGTCAGAAGTTGTCAAGAAAATACCCACATTGTAGGTGCTGGATCCTTTCCACAACCTTTGAATGAAGTGCTTTGTCAACATAACAAAGCATGTTGACATGCATGATGACTGACTCAGTGTGCTAGATTAACACATCACTCTCATCTTTATACTTCCTCTTTTTGACCAACACAGCTACCATTTTGCCTTCGTGTTTTTGGAGATGCTATGTTGATTAAAACAGAAAAAATGAAATTACACCAAAGAGAATAAACAGCAGTTGCTTGTTTGCTTGAGTTTGGGTTTGAGTTGCGTTCAGAAATCTCTTTTTCCACTCTTTCTTTTTGAATCTCTTTGATTCTTAACCATCCTTCCTCTCTACGCATTCAGATGACTTGACCCCTCGGACCGCCCACCCAGGCAGTACGTCTACCATCCTCTCTACACCACTTTAGTTAACCAAATTTCACTTTGTTCTTTTTAATTTATATATTTTTTTTTAACTCATCAACCGTATTATCTCAGATCTGTTTTCCTATAAGTAATTTCTATATGATGAGTTAGTGTCATATCTGTTCACTTGGACCGATTTATAAAGGTTTTGATGTATTCTGTTTAATTGCAGTTGATGACAGCCTTGGTTTCCTGCCGACATTTGGCCCTTGTTTTGTCAATTTCTACGGGAGTCCCAGAGAGTTCACCGCATTTAATGATCCCCATGAAGCTCTAAACCTTGGAAAAGTAAGACTACTACTATTATTCTTTCTGCAGATGGAGGACAATCATCTTTGCCTTGGTCCTCCATCTTGACTTGCTAAAAAAAGTGTATCTTTTTCACAGGGGGAAGGAGTAGCATACAGAGGCAGAGTTTTACTTGAACTGACCACAAAACAGACTGAAAAACCTGAGCACAGGAGTGAAGACATAGCATCAGATGACCTGCTGGTAGTGGAGGTGAGAGACAAGCAGTAAATGTAGAAAATATGTATAAAAATATGAAGCCCCTCACATGTATCTCTCTGTCTTACAGAAGTTTCTCAGAAAGAGAAAGTTCTCTCTCTTTGTGGCGTTTTACTCAGCCACGCTGCTTCAGGATGTGGATGATGCCATCCAGTTTGAGGTCAGCATTGGTAACTATGGCAACAAGTTTGACTACAGCTGCCTCCCTCTGGCCTCAACCACACAGTTCAGCAGGGCTGTGTTTGACGGTGAGTGAGGGGCCCAAGGTTAGGCTGCTACTAATATAATACAGTGATCTTTTTATTTTTCCTTTGAGGTTACCCCCTTTTTTGAGGCATGTCCTTAATATCACACTAGTTGTTTCATCTGAAGATAACCAAAATAGTAAAATATATTTTTGAACAAAGTATTATCTTAGTTTTTGGTAATAATACATGATTTTTCAGGTCAATATATATGATTTAGAGTCCTTCATTGCTCCATGCTGGCTGTCCTTCTCACAGACTCGTCCATGTAACTTATAAGGGTGGGATGTGTTACTTAATGAGTGAAGTTACACTTTAGTGCCACTTTACGGTAGTCTGAGCTCCGTCTGAAGACAAGAGCTAATAAACTAATAAATTGTTTTTTAGGCTGCAAAACAGATATGACACTTTTTGGTTCTCTGATGTCGTTATTTTTTTCTAGAGGGGTAAAAGTGACCTATTCTGCATTATCTCAATCTGCTAAACCAAAGTGGTATCAAAATTCAAAGAAGAGCTAATTCTGCAACAGTGTAGTGTTGCTAGTGGCCTTCACAGGGCCAACCTGTCCAGTGCCCCTTGTGGCTAAAGGTTATTCAAATCCTCCAGGGCCAGTGTCCTCTGTCACCCTTTAAATATGTCCCTTTCCCTCTACATAAAGTGCCTCTGTAGAGACCATAAATAAAAATCAATAACAGACTGAGATCTAAAATAGAGCCTAATGGTGATACACAACTAAGGGTCCATTAATACTTGCTTGTAACAACTATAAAAATCCTATTTTAGAGACAAAACTGGAATCAAGCTAATGGCAAAAAGCAATTTATTTTTCAAAAAGAAATTTACTTTGTGTACATTTTTTCTTTAACTCTAAAAGCTGGATTTATTTCAAGCAGTTGTAGAATATTGTATTTACAAGTTGAAACACTGTAAAAAGATGCTTTAGCCAAGTTTTGCAATATGAAACCAACCTGAATTTGAATACCTTTTTTACTCTGTTTTAGGTTGCCACTACTACTACCTCCCGTGGGGAAATATTAAGCCGGTGGTGGTTCTTTCTTCAGAATGGGAAGACATTCGACCAAGGATTGAAGCTCTCAACATGTTGCTTGCGATCATAGACAGATTGGTGTGTACTGATGGTCTTGTAAATTAGCCTCCTGCAGAGTTGTAGTATTGCACAGATTTAATTATTATGTCTGTTGTGGGATATTTTTGCTTTTCCAGGAAACAAACCTGCAACAAGTGCAGTTTGAAGTGAAGGCAGGAAGTGACATGGAGGATGTAGAGCTGCGTGTTGTAGAGCTTTTAGATCAGCTCATTGCAGACTGCAGGTAAATCATGTGTTTTACTGTCAGTTCCTATATTTTACATTTAAATAAGATCCTTCATTCCAGTGGAATCATTAGAACAAAAAAAAAAATCTACCTTAATTAACTTATGACTTAGCTTTAGGTAAGTAGGTATAAATAAAAATGCTAGCATAATAAATGTATTGTCGAGGATTTGCTAAAAGACCCACCCCCTTTAAACAAACAAGTGTGCAAGAGCACGCACCAGCCCATTTCTCCTCACGCACACCCTGTTTAAAATGTGCATTTCTCATAGGTCATATAAGCTTACTGTGTCCACATACAGTGGGGACTATATAGGGGACTTAATTGCAAACTCAGTTAACTTACTGTTTGGACAGATGATCACTGCTTTTTGCCCTAACTCCTCCTCCACTACGCAGTGCCTGCACCATCTTTGTTATTAGTCGCCACTGTCGGGTAGTGACAGCCTATGGCGACAGCGGGCTGTTGTGAAAGCAAATCCCATAATGCTTTTCGAGGAGAGCTCTCTGCGCAAAGCATTCTGAGATATATCTGCCTCTTCTTAGGCCTTTTTTTTCTTTTAAAACACTTAGTAGACACTTTTTCTCTTATGAAATATGAGCTTCAATGACTTAAACAGTACCTTACAAAAACATATGTATATCTGCATAAATATTTGGGGTTGAATTTCTATAAATTTTATCACTCTATATTGTGCTACTTTTCCTAAATATGTTTCTTTAGCAACTGCTAAAGTGAAGTAAGGTAAAGTGGTAATGAATACTTTAATTTTGCTTTTAATTTGTGTTTTTTTTTTTTTCATTTGAGCATGTTTATGTAACACACAGACTAAAGAGCAATCCATAGATCTATGTTTCATTTCTTCTCTCCTATACGGTAGTTAATGAATCTTTCTCCTCACAGTAAGGAGCTGCCCTCTATCGACCAGTGGCAGTGTGCTACTCCTCTTGACCGCTCACTGAGACACATTCGAAGCCTCCACTTGCAGCAGATCCAAGCCGCAGCTCTGGCACTGAAACACGGACCAGAAACTGAACTGTCCTCAGTGCTGGAGCAGGCGGAGGACTGGGCCAACAGGCTGAGGACCATAGCTGAGGAGGTAAGAGCTGTCTTTTAAGCCACCAAGTAATTAGGAGGCCATTGAACTAATTAAGCTTTACTTAAACGCGCTGTGAATTTTGTCTCCCAGCCTCAGAATAGTCTCCCAGACATTATCATCTGGATGCTGCAGGGCGACCGCAGGGTGGCTTACCACCGCATCCAGGCTCACACTGTCCTCTTCTCCCAGCAATACTGTGGGAAACACTGCGGACAGCTGCAGAGCATCTTTCTGAAGGTGTGTGCATTCCCTCTACCGATCCACCCAAACACACCTGCTGTTCTATGTTAATAATCTACTGTACTGCAGGCATCCCCAAAGTCAGTCCTCGGGGGCCGTTTCTCTGCTTTAGCTCAGCTGATCTGATGACTGCAGTTCAGCAAAAGCCTGTTAATCAACTATCGATGTAAATCAGCTGTGCTGGAGCAGGGGAACCTCTAAAACCTGCAGGATAGCGACCCTCAAGGACAGACTTTGGGGATGCCTGATCTACTGTATTTGAGTAAGGTCAAAACTAATAAGGAGAAGCAAAAAAAAAAAAAATTTTATATTTAATTAATTATAATCAGAAAATCACTGCACATGTTATTTCTTTGTTTTTTAAATTGCAGATTTGACTTACGATACAATTCATGTTTAAGTTTTTAATTGTTGTTTAGGTTTTTAATTGTTTTCTATTTTAGTAAAATACTCACAACTGACCACAGAAAATATAAGAAATATGAACATTTGGCCACATTTGTACTATTTATTGTAGTCAAGGGTCACATTAATTATTCAATAGAAAAAAATGGGTCACACTTTGAACCTCCTGGTTCTTTGTAACGTACCTACTGTGTTTTTCATTGTTCAGAACCCGCAGGGCAGCGGGAGCGAAACCAAACTTCCTGGTCAGCTGAGGGTGAAGGTTTGGTTCGGACTGGCTGCTGATGCCAAACACTTCAACCAGTATGCTGAAGGAAAACTGTCTGTCTTTGCAGAGACGGTAAGAGACATGTCAACATGTAGGACTGCTTCATTAATGTGGGTGTTTGAGATAATAACTTAAAGTCTTGGGCCATTTTGGCTTTATTCAGCCAGACCTTCCTTTCTGTAATGTTTCAAATTTTCTTTGAAATAGCTTTTTTGTGCAATCATGGTATAAAATGCTGAAAGGACAGAAAGCTCTTCGTTTCTCCCTCTGCAGTCGAAACCTCTCTTTGATTATTTGCAGTACGAGAACCAGACTCGGCTGGCTCTGGTAGGAAGCTGGGGAACAACGGGTTTGACCTACCCGAAGTTCAGCGACGTCACTGGGAGGGTGAAGTTGCCCAAAGAGAGCTTTAAGCCCTCGCCTGGATGGACCTGGGCTGGAGACTGGTTCATCAGCCCTGAGAGGACGTGAGTCTTTGCTACTTAGTCATTCACTCATCCTGAGTTTTAAAACAGTCTTTCATTGAGCATAAAACCTGATTACTGGGAAACATCTTGCTTTAGAGGTATAGAGGCTTTTTGGTATATGATAATATTGTATTTTTAAAAATTGGGCAAAAGTAAAACATTCCCCTGCAACGCAAGGCATAATGAACATTTCAAACTCTATTCTATTAAAGCATTACTTAAGCTTGTTGTCATTCTACTGATTGTCAGGAAAACTGAACATCAGGCTTTACGGAAAACAGAAGTTACAATGAACATGACTGCATGAACAGAAACATGCTGGAAGATTGAACGATTAAACTAGCATCCAGCAGCTGTAAACACCAAAACCCCCGAAACGCATTAAGGCTGCATCCTTCCATGGACCCGGTCTACCTGGACTTGGTCCTTCGAAGGCTGTGAAAATAAGGAGGCCGGAAGAGTATAGGTTCAAACAGATCCAGCCTTCTCGCCCCTCACTCAGCGTACGCTCTGTCGCCTAGCAACCGTGACAGTCGACACAGAATGCAGGCAAAGGATGGATGGCGAACTTCTTTCTACTGTTCTTTGTGCTAATTTCATTGAGGAGCTTCAGTAGAAGTACCTTTTGTTGTGAATATAAGATTTATAGTCCCCTCACTACAGAGATCTTAGAATCTGTGCCTAAATGTCAGCTAAACATTACCCGCTACATATCTGACTCAATAACCATTTAAAACCCTTATTTTCATAATTTCAGATGGAACAATTTACATGCTTGGATTATATTGAGGATACAGCTGACCTGATTCTTTGAATTGGAAGAGGCAACGGCACCGTGCTATGATGTAATCGACCAACGAATCTGGCCTTCGGAGGTCACAGCTGCCAGATTCAAAATCCGCCTCAATATGTCTTGGCATACGATCTAACAACAAATAGGGATTTGACAGCTTTTATTCAAGCTGATCCTTAATCCATTTAAAGTCAAATATATGAACCCAACATCACATTAAGAGAAGTCTCCCCTTCCCATAATATAATATCTGTGCCACTGTGCTGTACAGTATACTGTGGTTCATATTGAATGCATCAGGCTTTTGTAAAAAACAGTGCCTGAACCCTAACAGGACAATATTGATTTCCAGTCGATAAACAGCGCACCTTTTGTCCTTACAGTCATCTGCACAACTTTTTTGATCAGTCTTTGTTATTTTGATTGTACTCTAATTAATTCAACATTTTTTTCCACATCTTTCTTGTTTTACTTCTTATTAAAAGCATCAATGTAATTGAACTCATTTCTTTTTATTTTAGCTATTTTTTCATAAAATAAATTAAAAATTCTATCTACATCTGTTTTCTTACCAAATAAACTCCTCACTTTGATTTAGATGATTATTCAGTTTCACAGGGTATATAAAGAATGTGCATCTAGGACCAAGATGCACATAAAAAGTTTGAACAGGTACACTCTAACACAGAATTATTGCTCCTTTAAACAACATTCAATGGCTTCCAAAGTGTTTTATGCTGTAAATAAATCCCTCAAAGGAGTCTAAAACTGATACTTAACACATAAAATTCTCTTGAAATTGTATAAACCCTTTTTTTTTACTTTTGCTTAGGATTTGCATGAGAATTTGGCTTGTGTGGATGCAGTGGTAGCAACATTAGCAGTATGTCAAGGTTCCCTCTAGGGCTGAAGCAATTAATTGTGAATAGTAGAGTATTTAAATAATTGTCAACTAATTTAGTAATCGATTAATCGTTAACTGGAGTATATAGACTGCAGAACATGCTTTTAGCTGAGAGAGTGACCCACTTAGAGCAGTAATTATACCAAAATTGTAAAGAAAATATATAAAAAATGTGCATTTAAGATAAAAAAAAAAAAAAAAAAAACTTTCATAAATAAATATTCACTATCCAGAACTGACCTGGAAGTGGAAGAGTTTTATTTTCACCTGGTTTGATTTTGTAAAAAAAAAAAACGTTTTCTATCCGATTATTAAACAATTATTCAAAAGAAATAATAGACATATTAATCGATTTGGAAATTAATTGTTTGTTGCAGCCCTAGTTCCTTTACTATCATTTTTGTTCTTTTAAACAATAGGTAAAAAGTAACACAAGCAGCAACAATTGCTGACTGACTGCGGTAATTGAGGTTAAACACATGTGGAATAAAACATTCTGCCTTTTTGGGCAACATTTTACTGAGAGCAATTAAAAAATACTTTTAAGAGGATTTGGCAATAATTGGTTTTACCTTTGGTTTTCCCCCAGACTGCTGTTTGATGTGGATGCAGGTCACATGACCTTCACAGAGGAGGTGTTTGAGAACCAGATGAGGTTACCGGGTGGGCAGTGGATCGGCATGCCGGAGGGCTATACTGACGTGGTGAGTTCCTGGATGGTTATTCAATAGCTTTGTTTGCTGTAAGTAAAAACAAACAAACAAACAATCTTTCTTTCTGTGACAGAACGGGGAGAAAACTGTGCCAAAGGACGAGGTGGAGTGTCCTCCTGGGTGGGTTTGGGAGGAGGTGGAGTGGAGCGAAGATCTCAACAGAGCTGTTGATGATCAAGGTGCTTAGAAAATAAAGGATTGCTCATATAAACAAAAAAGGACAGCTCTTACTTCTTTTTTTTTGTTGTTGTTGTTGTGTATTACCTTTAGGCTGGGAGTACGGCATCACCATTCCTCCAGACCGCCGTCCTAAGTCATGGGTTCCTGCAGAGAAGATGTACCACACCAACAGAAGGAGACGATGGATACGGATGAGACGGCGAGACCAGCAGAAGATGGAGGCCCTCAGGAAGGTAGCAAGGTTTTTATATTACCGTGATGCTCTTCCAATGCATATTAGTATATGATCTCAATAAGTTGCCGCCTTTATTAAGCTCATAATATCCTGCACTAATTCTCAACAAATGTATGAAGAGACTTTATAAAAAATAAAAAAAACTCGATTCAATCCATTTATACTGCCAGATTTAAAGTCAACCAAGACTAACAGTCATTGGAAAGTTAACTGAAACTTTTACGTTTCTTTAAAAAAAAAAAAAAAAAAAATTCATATTTTTCCCAGGAGCAGCAAAAAAGTTTTTAACAAAATGTAGTATATTAACTTTTTGCTGATAAAAACATCCCAAAAAGATAAAGTTTTAACAAGTTAGAATTCATTGAACTAAAAAGAATAAAGAACAATCAAACAAACAGTAATCATTGTCAGCCCTAAGCATCATTCCTCAGCCTTGGTGTTTGTCTCTGCGTGGCGGAAGTACCCTCTTTTCAGCACTAGATGGAGCTCCTGCAGCACAAATTAGAAACTTTGACACAACAAGCCTCAAATTTTGGCCTTATTTTTGACTTTACGCTATTTTTGAGTGGTGAAAAATAGTTGAATAAATGTATGTTAATGTCCTCTTTAAGTTAATAAATACAAACTATATGTAATTACTGTTAATTTATATTTATTCCCACAGCAGCGTCCAGATGATACAGACAGAGAAGGCTGGGAATATGCATCTCTGTTCGGCTGGAACTTCCACCTGAAACCCAGGAAGACAGACAGCTTCAGGAGGCGCAGGTGGAGGTGCCGCATGGAGCCGTTGGAGAAGACTGGGCCGGCTGCCATCTTTGCTCTGGAATGTTCCCTGGTGAGGGATGGAGGACAAGAAAACATGTTTATGGATAGGATTTCTACACATGGCATGGGAATTAAATAAAGTATCTGCTGATCTCAGTCTGTCTCTGGAACATTAAGTTCTGTTATTTTTTTAATTCCCGCTCCATTTTATAGCAAAGATGTTAAAGTTCTGTGCAGGACAGCCAGGTTCTTCCATATCAAAGTGCATTTGTTAATGGGATTGACTTCTGGAGTTGGATTATATCTTGATTTTATTAAATCCCTTTCACAGTTGGAAAAAAAAAATAGGGTCTGCACTTTTTGTTTTGCAGTCATACAAACCTATAACAGTGAATATGGAAAATCTACAGAGGAATCATAAACAATTCTGCATTAAAATGTGTTTCTCTGTGGCTCTTCTTCCACAGAGCAGCATAGAGGACAAGCACGATGACAAGTCGGTCACCACCACCTTTGGAGTCAACAGACCAACAATTTCCTGTTTCTTTGACCGTAGGAAAACATTCATACTTTCCCCCACTTTTATTTCATTTTTTTGGATCTCTTTCCCAAATGTTGTGGATTATTTTATTTTTTTTCATGTGAAACTGGTTCTTTTAGGCGGCACCCGCTACCACTTGCGCTGCTACATGTATCAAGCCAGAGACCTGCTGGCCATGGACAAAGACAGCTTTTCAGGTACAGTTCAGTGACCGCCTCAGTAAATCTTAACTGATCACACAAACTATTGCGGCTGTTTTGGCGCCCTCTGGTGGCCAATTTGCAAAGCCGTCTTTGTTTCGGAGTCTAATTGAAAGAATAAAAATCGGTTTCATATTAACAAATGATGAACTGTAGTATAGTATTAAAAAAAGACCCATATACAGTAGTAAGACATTTTAAAATCACACATGTATTATTGTAAATAAAAATGAAACATCTTTAATATTAATGTATACATGTTTTCAGAAATGTTTTCATTAGTTTTGGTTCAAAGAAAATAACATAACTTAATACTGTACATCTGTAGTTGTTTTAATCCATTACCCATTTTTCAAATATTTTTTTTTCTAATGTATTCACCACTGTGTGTACAATGGTCTATTTCAGTAATTCAGTGAGTTTTATACCAGATGTTACAGGATCCAGACCTTCCATCCAGGGCTTCTTTTGTCTCATAACGTCACAGAATGTTTTCCTAATATCATCTAATGTTTCTGTATAAATGTGAATCAGAGTTTTTCTTTGGGTCTTTTCTTCTGGGAAGTCTCCCATGAATGTTCTTTTTGCTTAGTTTCTTATTGTTGAATCACAGATCCTGTTCCCAGCAGACTCCAGTAAGGCCTGCAGTGTTTTAGATGTTGTTCTAGGTTTCCTTTTGACCTCTTGGATGAGTCCTTAATGCTCTCTTGGAGAAACTTGATTAGGCCAGCCTCACTTTAATAATGCTCATTACAATTCCAGATTTTCTCCATTTGTTGCAAATGGCTCTCCTTAAAAATGAATTTACAGCTCAGTTTAAATATCTCTTTTTTATTTGTTCAGTTTTTTCCTTACTTTATTTTAGCAGACGGAAGTGATTTTTTTTTTATCCTGAACTGTATATCCCTTGAAAAAACTTTAGGATCACTGAGATAACATTTTTGAGAGGGATATAAAAAACAAAACTGCCTATAGTTTTACAAATGATGCATTAATTATGTGCTGACTGGCAAATAATGACAGAACTAGATTGGCAACAAGCTAATTGAATGCATTAGATAAAATTAGCTAGTGTATAAAAACCGAAATATATAGAAACATGTTTAACCTTTCAAAGTTTTAATGACTTGACAGAAAGCCAAAACTGTCGTTTTGGTTTATTTTTATTTGAAAAAAAGGGCAGCTTTAACTGCAGCATAACTCTTTCTCTGGTTTCAAACTATTAACAAATTGGCAATTATGAGTTAAGGAATAAGATACGAGTTATTACTCACAAAAGAAAAACCCTAGTGATTCTAGCTGACCTTCTAATAATTAAAAATAAGAAATCTGACAACATTAAACTCATTAAAAGTATACCGCTTGTAAATGAGACGTGAGAGCCAGAAAGAGTTTAATACGGGGAAACGAGCTTTAAAAATGTTGATTTAATTATAGAACAGCTCTGATTGTAATTAGAAAGGGGAGAATGTTAGAGAGAAATATTTTCTTTGATTGAAAGAGGTCATGGAAACTACAGCTACTGTGTGTGTTAATCAGAAGCCCGGCGCAGACTCGCATGTAAAAACGGAGCTTTTATAAACAAAAGCATGACTAGACGGCAGAGGGAGAGATGATGAATGGAAGGCTGCTTTAAAACGGGGTCAGAGACGGGGGACATCAAACAGGTTTCTGGTAACAAACTAATGATAAATCACTATCTTTACTCAAACTCGTTTGCTCTTTCACACACACACGAGCTTAATGGGCAAATAGATCTGATGGAGGGGCTTTACTTGTGTTTTCATCTGGTGTTACAGGAAATTTTGTTTGAGGATGATTAAAGACTCAGTCTGCTATCAAACACTAAGGGTTTTATGGTTTTCCTTTTTATTCATCGTCCCTTTTTCATGTGGTCGCCTTTCATCCTCTGTTGTCTTGTATGTTCTCTTCATCTCCGTCGTCGATCATTTTTTTGGGGTCTTGTTTCTGACTTAAATCTGTCGTTTTTTGGCTTTTTATATCTTTCTATCGTGCTGATGCCAAATATCTAAAGTTCACAATATTAAAAAAAAAGGTGTTTGAAAAGATCTTGCTCTTGGTATAATCACTTTATTATATTTCTATGATGAGCAAGACAAAGGATAAACAAATTTTATGTTTTACATAATGATCGGAGGGATGTAAATATATCCTCACATACCAAGGCGTTAACTCTTGTTTTTATATTTAGTTACATTTTAAGTTTGCATTTTTTTTCTTTATTTTAAATAATTTATTCCCTACTTAGATGTTTAGCCTTCTCTATTTAAAATAAATTTTATATTTATCTATCTTTTATTTTCCCTTCAGTTTATTCCTCCATTTTTTTTTTTACCATCTCTATTCCCGCCGTTCTTCCGTCTGCGTTGTGTTTATGTACCTTTGTTGCTCCATTGGAGCAGCAACTACTGCTGCTTCCCTTTTACACACAAAAAAAAGACCCAAAAAATGTAGATAACCCCTTTGGGCTATTTGCATTTCTGTTTATATGAACTAATGGGCTGTAGGGAAGGGAGGCTAATTGAATGGGTCACCATGGGTGGCGTGTTTGTACTCTGTGTGTGTGTGTATACATGTATGTGTGTCAGCAACGGGGTTAATTGAGGACTGGTGGGAAAACGCATCTTAGCTTCTGTTTACTCTGATGCTAACGGCTCCACAGAGACTCGTTACTCAGCCTAAAACAACAAACGACCCGTGTCCATGTAACTGTACGTGCACGTTCACTGGAAGTAATGTCTGTGTGTGTTTTAATGCTTAGGGGATGATTGTGACTTGGAATAACAAACTACTCAGAGTGGCGTTCCCAGAGCTCTGTCCCAAGGTTGACATTCCCAAGATGCTGATGTCATCGCACCGAATGCCGGGATAGTTTGGACACATGCTTACAAAATTTGTTGGTCTGCTAGTGAGAACCTGTTCTTTAATGCATTCACAATACATTAAGCACAACCTAATTGTTTCAGGTTTGGCATAACAGTGGGATTAATGTACACTGAAAATGTAACAATGCCGTACTTTTCCATGTTCTGCCACTTTGAAACCTTGGAGTTATAATAGACCAACACAATAAAGTGTATATTTGTGAGTTTTAAACAAAAAATATAATATTTCACAAATATAACTCTGAAAGGAATGACATTCAGCTATATTCAGAGCTCTTCTAAATAAATACTTTATACAATCACTGGAAAATATTATGAGTTTTGTTTGTTGTCCTGCTGGATAGTGAATATCTACAGGTTGTCATCCATCATTTGTCCTTAACCAACTTCCAAACAACTTTAACCGGATTCACTGTCCTATAGTAAAAGAAATCCACCTCCACAGCACCATGCTGCCACTACCATGGGTTTGTTTAGTGGGGTGTCCAGTGTTAACATTCATCCACACACAGCAATCTTGCATGCAGGCCTTAAGGTTGATGTTTGTTCTTATCTGACTAAATCACATTCTCTATGTTCTGCTATTGTTCTGGGCTTTAAAAATAATTTTTTAAGTTTGTCTTTACACTCTCAAATTTCCAGAAAGGCCTAATGTGTACAGTGTGCACAGCTGGTAGAGATTCTCTGTCATCCAGGTCATAGTCATTCCAAAAACAGTTCAAAAACAAACCACTGGACTTTGTTTTAAAAGTTTGAAGCCATTTATGTTGAGAGAGAAAAACCATCCTTAAAAAGAGAGGGTGGAAAAAGCTACGACGGAGTGATAGAGAAGATCACGGTGTCGCTATCATCCTAACCTCCATCTACTATATGCAGGGGACCAAAACATCTCGCCTGGTCAGCCAGGACAACGATGACCCTTTTAATATTCTTAATTTTTTATTTTATTTTTTTTCCTACTTGCTTTGATTCTGTTTTATTTTCCTATATTTTAATCATGAAAAGCACTTTGCATTGTCTTTGTACTGAATTGTGCTATACAATTACATTTGCCTTGACTTGCCTTGCCTTGCCTAATGACCTTTTTTAGAGGAATGGGCCAGTTTCAGGTATTGCAGGCCAATGACGACCTTAACGACTCCCCATTACCAAGGGTTGGAGCTGTTTTGTTTTTTTGTTTTATTTGTATGTTTTCTAAGCCATAACAAGGCTGTTGTTGGGCTATTCTATAAAAGCCTGGAACTCAACCATAATCCAGACATTTTGAATTCAGAAACTTCCCGGATGGGAAGCGAAATTTCTTCAAACTTGGAAAATTAAGCCCAGTGGTTTTATTTTCTAACTTTTTAATTTGACTTATTCAAAATTACAGTTTTTTAATTGATCTTTTAATGCTTTAGGCTTTAAATGGTTCATTTCTTCCTGACCTGTCAGCTGTGCTCTTTGGTTTTTATGATGATGATTGATCATTAATGTTCTCCACCAAGCCCCAGTTATAATGAGATAAGTTGTTTGTACTGACTTTTTTTGGGAGGTGCCGTTCAATTGTTTAATAAAGTTGCATTACATACTTTAACATTTGAATTCTATTAAAACATTAAAATTCGGTACAATTTTTCTTGCACTTGAAAAATAATCTGAATTATTATCAGTTTTTCCCATAAAGCAAAATGAAATCTGATCTGCCAGCATGTAAAAACAGAGGTATGAACACTTTTTAAAACACAGAATGTGCAGTTGGTGTTTAATTTTCCAGAGTAAAGGTGATTTCATGTTCAATGCCTTGGATGAAGTTATTGCTGCTATCTTTCCAGATCCCTACGCCATTGTGTCATTCCTCCATCAGTCTCAGCGGACAGTGACCGTCCGTAACACCCTCAATCCCACGTGGGATCAGACGCTTATCTTCTACGAGGTGGAGATTTTTGGAGACCCAGAGGCAACCATCGCGAATCCTCCTGAAATTGTGGTGGAGCTTTATGATGAGGACTCATATGTGAGTATTTAAACTCTTTCTATTAATCCTTTGCCTCCATATCTCTTGTCATTTCTATGTTAGTTTCCCTTAAGGAACTAAAATGCTGGAGTCAACGTTTAGCATGGCTGTGTTGTTTTATTGTTGTCCAGGGAGCAGATGAGTTCATGGGCCGCTGTGTGTGCCAGCCCTCCCTGACTCCCTCGCCACGACTCGCCTGGTTCCCGATTCGCAGAGGGAGCCCCACTGCCGGCGAGCTACTGGCTGCCTTCGAGCTCATACGTAGAGAAAAGGTCAAAGGTTTACCCATACGTCAACACTTTTTTTTTTTCAAACATGCGTTTCTCTTTCTGGGGTTTGCCATACAAACTAACTGACATTAATATATATTAATATAGTGGTAGGTTTGACAAAAAATCTGAATATTTAATTTAAATATAAATATGTGAGCATTTCCTGAGTGATGTAAAACATCTTGCATCTCGGAAGAAGAAGAATGTAAAACCTGTTTGTCTCTTGTTGAGTCTTGTTTTATAAATGTTATCTAAGACCTTTCTATATTATTATTTTTATTTAATGCAATGTATAGTGGTGCCCCTCCTGGGGACTCCCTTGATCTGCTGGGAGACTTCAACGCTCACGTGGGCAATGACAGTGAGACCTGGAGGGGCGTGGTTGGGAGGAATGGCTGCCCTGATCTGAACTCGAGTGGTGTTCTGTTGTTGGACTTCTGTGCTCGTCATGGATTGTCCATAACGAACACCATGTTCAAGCATAAGGGTGTCCATATGTGCACATGGCACCAGGACACCCTAGGCCGCAGTTTGATGATCGACTTTGTCATCGTTTCATCGGACTTGCGGCCGTATGTCTTGGACACTCGGGTGAAGAGAGGTGCTGAGCTTTCCACTGACCACTACCTGGTGGTGAGTTGGCTCCGGTGGTGGGGGAGGATGCCGGTCAGACCTGGCAGGCCCAAACGTGTTGTGAGGGTCTGCTGGGAACGTCTGGCGGAGTCCCCTGTTAGGCGGAGCTTTAACTCCCATCTCCGGCAGAACTTCGAACACATCCCGGGGGAGGTGGGGGATATTGAGTCCGAGTGGACCATGTTCCGTTCCTCCATTGTCGAGGCGGCTTATCTGAGCTGCGGCCGCAAGGTTGTCGGTGCCTGTCGTGGCGGCAACCCTCGAACCCGTTGGTGGACACCTCCGGTGAGGGATGCTGTCAGGTTGAAGAAGGAGGCCTATCGGGCCTTTTTGGCCTGTGGGACTCCGGAATCAGCTGATGGGTACCGGCGGGCGAAGCGGCATGCGGCTCGGATGGTTGCTGAGGCAAAAACTCGGGTGTGGGAGGAGTTTGGAGAGGCCATGGAGAAAGACTTCCGCACGGCTCCGAAGCAATTCTGGTCCGCCATCCGGCGTCTCAGGAGGGGGAAGCGGTGCAGCACCAACACTGTTTATAGTGGGGATGGTGTGCTGCTGACCTCGACTCGGGACGTTGTGGGTCGGTGGGCGGAATACTTCGAAGACCTCCTCAATCCCACCAACATGTCTTCCATTGAGGAAGCTGGGCCTGGGGACTCTGGACTGGGCTCTCCAATCTCTGTGGGCGAGGTCGCCGAGGTGGTTAAAAAGCTCCTCGGTGGCAGGGCCCCGGGGGTGGATGAGATCCGCCCGGAGTTCCTGAAGGTCCTGGATGTTGTAGGGTTGTGTTGGCTGACACGACTCTTCAACATTGCATGGACATCGGGGGCAGTCCCCCTGGATTGGCAGACTGGGGTGGTGGTCCCCCTATTCAAAAAGGGGGACCGGAGGGTGTGCTCCAATTACAGAGGAGTCACACTCTTAAGCCTCCCCGGCAAGGTCTATTCGGGGGTGCTGGAGAGGAGGGTCCGTCGGATAGTCGAACCTCGGATTCAGGAAGAGCAGTGTGGTTTCCGTCCTGGTCGTGGAACGCTGGACCAGCTCTACACCCTCAGCAGGGTCCTGGAGGGTGCATGGGAGTTCGCCCAACCAGTCTACATGTGCTTTGTGGACTTGGAGAAGGCGTTCGACCGTCCCTCGGGGGGCCCTGTGGGGGGTTCTCCGGGAGTACGGGGTGCCGGGCCCTTTGATACGGGCTGTCAGGTCCCTGTATGACCGGTGTCAGAGTCTGGTCCGCATTGCCGGCAGTAAGTCGGGCTCGTTTTCAGTGAGAGTTGGACTCCGCCAGGGCTGCCCTTTGTCACCGATTCTGTTCATTACCTTCATGGACAGAATTTCTAGGCGCAGCCAAGGTGTTGAGGGGATCCGTTTTGGTGGCCTTAGGATTGCGTCTCTGCTTTTTGCAGATGATGTGGTCCTATTGGCTTCATCAGGTCGTGATCTGCAGCTCTCGCTGGATCGGTTCGCAGCCGAGTGTGAAGCGGCCGGGATGGGGATCAGTGCCTCCAAATCCGAGGCCATGGTCTTGAGCCGGAAAAGGGTAGAGTGCCTTCTCCGGGTCAGGGGGGGTGTCCTGCCCCAAGTGGAGGAGTTTAAGTATCTTGTCTTTGCAGTCAGTTCATCAAGAGTACGATCCTGCCTTAAAATCCTATTGTGGGAGCTCAGACACCCACATACTGCATCAACAGCTGCATGCCTGTCTACCTGCCAGCTCCCAGATCAGCAGCTCTGATTGGTTGATGAGCAAAAGTTCAATTTTTACAACTCCAGGATCTGATACTTGTGAAGCACATAAAATGCGTCAGATGTTTATAAGCTCATGAGGCGCTGCTTCAGCTGCTCAGGTGTGTCAAGATGCGCTGCTCCCGCTGCTCAAGATGCGCTGCAGGACTTTTTGATGCTCCTCGATGTGCTTCAGCCATTGACTTTGCATGTAAAATGGCTGCTTCTGTTGCCCATAGCGCATCCAGTGTGAATGTAGTAGGAGAGTCTTGTCTGATCTGCTGGTCACATGATTCACTGCACATTATATTAACCCCTTTGTCCTTGATTGTGTATTTTGACAGTGGAATAAAATATCATATGCTTATTGTTCCAGTAGAATTAGCTATTACTGAGTTAACTAGAAAACAAAGCTTGTGAATCATTGAAGACCTAAATTGGGCGGGTCTTTTAAGTTAGCGGGGCTGAACAGACATGCTACGGTTTAAAATTAAGCAACTGCATATTTTTTGGTGAAAGTAATTCAAGAGATTTATCTGCATAATGTAGCAGTTCTTTTGGAATTGGTTTTAATTATTTGTTTAGGGTGACCTGAATTTAAAATGAACACACATTAGATTGAAACTGATTATCTTTAATTTAAATAGATTTATATTCAAAATCAAAATATTTTACAAACCTTTAAGTTCACAAGTTTTTGTGGTACTTCCTTACTTAACAAAATTGATTTGATCGACTCCTATTTGTTGGGTTTCCAATAAAAAAATTAGATTTTAGTGTACTTACTCGGGTTGGTAATGTAGTCTTAACAAGTCTAAAAGCTAAAAAGCACAGAAACCAAACCTCTACCAGTCATCTTTCTCTTTCTAATTGGTCCTCTCTTATTGCATCTACAGCCTGCAGTTCACCACCTTCCAGGTCTAGAGGTCAGTTTATGTTTAAATCATTGTAATTTAAATATCATTATTATTCTGATTTATTTACTGTATTTATACATTTACTGTTATATTGTTGATCTATGTGCAATAAAGCATTATTTTCTTAAACACAGGGCGATGTCGTCAGTTCAACCCATGTGCTGGACGAGGTAAAACCACACTGAGTAAAATCAGAAGACATTATTTGAACAGAGTTGATGGAAATAAGGGATGATAATAAGCTTTAAAAAAGACCTAAACAGAAAAAAATCTCTGTATTAAATATTAAAGCCATGAGCCAGAAATTGTAGCTTAAAAAGAAACCCCTTAATCCCCGCTTCTTAAATCAATCAACTCAGCCTGATTGTTGTGATTTAATACAAGACAGTTATCATGTTTTATGTGTGTATTAAGTTTGTTTCTTCCTATTCTGCTTTGTTTTTTTCTTTTCTTCATTTTGGATTCCTCAGTTGATGTTTCCAGGATTCCTCTCTGAAAACCTGCAGCAATGGGTACATTTTAAAAACATACACATGAACCATCAAACCAACCTACAGTCATCATGTTTCATGTCTTTAATTCCTTAGATAACTCAGCTGGAAAAGCAGTCATGCAAGCATGTTATTTATCATCTGTAGACCCTCTGTTTCTCTTACTAACTTGTTTCATGTTTACAAAGGTGAATGGAAGCCTAAAGAGGTTATGTTAACATTTTAGGGGGAAAAAAGCATTGTTTCAGTTTGTAATTTGACAAATATTGCACATTATATAAAGGTTGTCTTTAGCCTTCCACAAAACCTTTAAATCGATGTTTTTCTTGTTTACATTTTGAGAGCTTTCTTTATAAGGAAATTGTCAAACTAAAAGATTTACTGTTTGTGTTTAAAAACTTACAATTACCTAAACCTAGTTGTCTCAGAACCTCTTTATTTGAGTGTTAAAAACAACTTTAACAGCATTGCATAATTTCAAAAAGCATGACTCACTGTGTGATGTAGCTCAAACTAGTTTTTTAATGTTTTTTTTTGTTTTTTTTGGGGGGTTTTGACCTGCTGCTTTCTTTTGCTTTGGCAGCCGGAGGAGACGGACCTTCCCTATCCACCTCCTCAGAGGGAGCCCAATGTCTTCATGATTCCCCAGGGCATCAAACCTGTTCTGCAAAGAACTGCTATTGAGGTGCAGCAGTAACAAAAGCTAATGCCAGTTTGTTTTATTGTTTTTTTACGCAAAAATGTAAAAAAATTAAATCTTTGACAGAAAGATGTTTGAAGTTTTTCTTCAAACATTATTTACTGATGTGCTGGGAAACTGAAAAATAAGCACTTTAATGATAATACATGCGGCTTTTGCAGGGGTTTTAAAGTGGAATCATGTGGGTTAACATTTAGCAGTCAATATCCTAAATGCAGTCAGCAGCATTGAGGGGACTTAAGTTTAAAAAGTTAAGAAAAACACGGAAAAAATATTACTAATAGGTCAGTGTAAAGTTTAAAGCTAATAAACCTGAAGTAACAGTACCTCAGAGTCAGTCTAATTCTAGCTTAAATAAAAACCCTTTGCAGATCACTTTTTCCTTATGCAGACAAGGCAATTTATGAAGATAGTGAGCCCTCTGTGTGCTTTTAGAGCATGCAGCTTTTTTCCTTTTTAAGGGAAAAAGGTTTTGAGTTTGAATTACTGCAAAGTCCGATTTTTTATTCTATTCTCCTTCACTCTTTAAACTGAATACATATAGCTTTTCCACATAAAGCCATAAAAAAGATCAAAAAGAAGGGCCACTTAAAGCCCCCACTCATCTCCAATTAAGTAATTCTGTTGGAATCTGCAAATAATTGGACGTCCAGCCTGGGTGAAAAAATAAACTCTATTCCCCTTTTCCTCTGTTAGATCTTAGCGTGGGGCGTTCGAAACCTCAAGAGTTTCCAGCTGTCCAGTGTTACGTCTCCAAGCCTGCAGGTGGAGTGTGGAGGCACCATGGTGCAGAGCTGCGTCATCCGCAGTGTGAAGAAGAAGCCAAACTTTGACATCAATACGCTCATCCTTGATGTGGTGAGAGCACGGGGACGAACCTAACCATACACAAACACAGAGTGTAATCAGAGCACAGACCCACAGCTTTCATGGTTAATGAGACCTCTGCTGTGATGTGGTTTGCTTCAGTCATTTATCTTCATCAGCAAAGCCACAATAATGGCACCAGAGGGAAGGACTCTAGGCTTCCCTCCCTTTTTCCATGGAAAGTTCAAATGTTTTAGTAGAAAAGTAAAAGCTAGACTCTGAGATGTTTCCAGCTCTGCTGTGGAGCTATTTTAACTTCATAAAGTTCCTACAGATGTAGAATTGAGGACTACGCAGTGGCTACTAACATATACGGTAGATTAATATTCAACATAACTATAGGGTGGAGTATTTTGACATGCACACTGTGGAAATTCAAATACCTACCAGATGACTTGAAATTGAATGCAGCTGAAAAATAAACTCACCATTCTTGTGATAGAACAGACATAGGTCACATATTGAGGCTTATTTTAGAAAAAGAAAAAATATAATGGCTTTTGAACAGGTGTTTAAAGTTGTACTTTAAACAGTAGTGCCAGAGCTGCGCTTTTCATTCAAATTACTGCAAAATCAAAAGATGAAAAGAGAAAAGAGATAAAAGCATCAGAAGACTGAAAACGATTCACTGAATTTAGATAACATAACTGTTGAAGTGAACTGAAGTCTTAGTTCACGGGAACAAGGTTGACATTAAAATGATTTAGTTTTCTCCAAATGGAGTAAAAAAAGAGTTTTTTTTAGAGAGGTGAAGAAATTACTATTAGGTTGCACAGCTTTTTGTACGGCTGTATTTTTCTTATCCTGACAAAGTCAATCGAGATAGGAGCAGTGAATCTGGGTAAAAAAATAACACATTATATGTTTTATAGAAACCCTAAATGGAATCCAGATGTTCAATTTGTTGTATCTAGAGTGTTTAATGTAGGGAAACAAACCGTTTATTCCTTATCTTACAGAAAAAAAAAAAAAATCAGATCAGGATTTAGGAGAGTTGATATACAGTACACTCAAGCCCTGAATCATTGATTTCTGTCATTTAATAAATGTGGCCAAGGAATGTTGATTATGAACAAAGCAGAAAGTGTTAGAATGAGCTCAGGAGTTATTGTCAGGGTCCTGTAATTTATAGGTTGTTGGTTCTAGCGCCCATATTATCTGTGTCAGTTCTCACCACCATTAGTTTGGGAATGTTTGTGTTAATGACTGCCTGTACAAAAGTTCATTGAGGTTCTGGACTTGATAAAGGCTATAAAGGTAGCTATACAGAAGTATAGACCATTTACTAAAACATTGTGTCAAAAATTATTTATATCCTTCTTTATAATCTGTGAACAAATCTCTCCTGCCATTAGAGCAATTAAGCCTTCTAATTATAGCTTTTTGATTCTTTCCAAGGGTATTTTTGATTTGATATTTATCTTTGTTAATCAGCTCCAAGACTTTCAGTTTTGCTGGGACTCTTGTCATCCCCTGATCTTCATCTCCTTCCACAGATTATCAGCTTAGATACAAGTCAGGACTCACAAATTAGAATAGCATGTTTGCTAAATCAAACTGCTTAAACCCTAAAACCCAGGGTTTTAAGTAATCTTAATCCATGCATCCTGCATAGGGTTTGCTGAATTGAAAAAACAACAACATATTTCTATAGTATTAGGAGATATACTGAGGGAAATCAGTAAATTATGAGATTAAGCTTTCTGACCGTAAATAAAATCAAAACGTTTTTTTTCAAGGGTTTAAGCTGAACAGTCAGGAATCGTAATTTCATAAAAATAAAACAAGCAAAAAAAAAAAAAACTGTTGAAAGCTACAAAATGAAATTTCCATCAGATAAACTTCAGCTTCATATATGGGTTTGTTAATTGTTAATGTTGTTCCAGCTTGTGAATCATATGGTTAAGTGGGTGGATTCAAGTGTCTCACTTTCGACCACTCTTCTATTGAAACTGACACATTTTCTATCATTTCTTAAAAGTATATATATATATATATATATATATATATATATATATATATATATATATATATAAGGAGAATCATGCCAAAGGTCTTGGCCGCAATTAAAAATCCACAAAACAGTGATCCAGATTTAATCCCTACATTCTACTGCATGAAATCTCCTACTCATAGATTTTCTTCCAAAATGTTCTTGAGAGCTTAACAATATTAAAGTATAAAAGTTGATCCCCTCTGTGTTTTATTATGACAGCTTAAACTAGAGTATGGAAATTATCACATATTTGAATCAACCCCTCAGACACAGATTCAGCCCCTGCTGTTTAATGTTAACAAGATTAAGCCCCTGCATTTGACCACCACAAGGGTATGACAGCCTGAACTGGACAGTGGAAATATGCACACATTTTCTCCCCTTAAATTCAGCCCCTGAACTTTGTCCAAACATTGACTGTTAACAATTTTAGGGTTTAAAGTTGACTGCATTGGTGTTTTCTTATGCCACAGTGGCAGAGGAAAATGCCAAATGCATACTTTCCTTAAATAAAACTCTTTGAAGAGTCAAACCAAATCTCTAACTCTCTCAATTTAATGTGTTTCTTTAGCATCGGTAGACTTACTTAACCCTCCTCAAAGCCAAAAAAGTCAAAAGAATTATATTAAGCGACTTGCTTTTGGGGATTTACTTAAAATGTAGCTCCCAAGGCTTTTTTAAAGTAATAGCAGCTAATAACAGTTAGACCTCTCTGCAGTAAAACCCACAAGAGATAATTACACATCTTTGAATTAATTATCCTAATTTAGTGTGACTGAGGTAAATTGGTCACAGGTGCTACATTTAAGGTTCTTTAAATCAAATAAATTATGTGAATAGGTTGCTTACTAGATATTGATGGGGAAACATACAGTACATATTACCTATACATATATTTAAGGGACATTTTTGGGTTAATTAAGTAGTAACTCTAGAATTGTTGTTGCGTTTTCTCTCAGTGTCCGGTAAAGTTGGGTGATAGGATGAAACCATCGCTTTCCTTGAAAAAAAAAATTATAATAATAATTTCAGACTGTTCAATTTTCCTCATATAGATAAACAAATGAATAACCAGGGGCGTTGCTAGGCACAAAGCTTTACTGGGGCACTGGCCCCCTACCGCATATGCCCCTCCTGCCATACACAAATACAGACAAGCACACTGCCCCACCCTGATACATTCCTACCAAAATTACCAGTTGAGATATTAATGAGTGTAAGAGCATATTTGTTTTAACAAACATGAACATTTTCAACATTGCAGCTATAAAAAATAAGACATCACCAACTTTAAAAATAAAAAGTTTCCTTATACACATTCTGAAGTAATCATTAATTCCTAGGTTTCAGAGTTTTAGTTCAGAGGAAAGTTTAACTCAACCTGAACTAAGTTTTTCTCTTATTTTTTTTTTTTTTTTTTTTGAACTTTATTTTTTTTATTTTTAATAACAGATGAACACAGTTACAATCTTTGTCTCCACCGACCTAAGCCACTATATTACACGAGACATCGAAAGGTGAGTCAGTGGGTGTTCTAACACATGTAATAATGCATACATGACAACAGATTGAAATCAACAGGCAGATAACAGTAAAATAAAATAAAATGGTACACAGCACTTGAATGAATCCCCTCCTGAGACAAGACAATCCACACATTCATAGTATTTTCCATCGACCAAAGATATACGCTAATGCAAAAGGGCTATCCTGTAGCTGTGTCACTGAGTTAGTAACGGTATGACAGAGCTCCATCTTGTATTAAAAACTGTTTTTTGAAACCTTAGGGAATATGTTATTCCTTCCATCATGTAAATGTCCCAAACTTTTTGTATCCATATGTTATATGTAGGAGGCTCTGGCTTCAGCCATCTGACAGTTATGCATTTCAATGCTGCTGTAAGCAAGATTCTTAACAGGTATCTATCCCCCTTCCTGTCTATTCCATCGGGTATTTCTCCCAGAATTGCCACCAAGGGAGTTTTTGGGACATTTCTCCTGAAAATTACTTTAAGTGCTTCAAAGATGTCCTCCCAAAATACACTTAGTTTAGGGCAGGACCAAAAGATGTGCGTATGATTTGCAATCTGTGTCCCGCAGTTTCTCCAACATGAACTTGGTTGAGTTGGGCCCATTTTACTGGTTATTGTTGGCGTTCTGAAAAATCAGACTATTACTTTCCATTTGAATTCTCTCCATGTGTTAGAATTTGTTGTTAATTGTGCGTCGGTACACATTTCTTCCCATGTGTCCTCTGTTATTGACTCCTGCAGTTCAGTTTCCCATTTAAGCTTTATGTTTGTGGAATCATGCCCGTTCATAGACAGAAACAGGTTATATATTTTACTAATTACATTGTTATTACCTTTTCCCCTTTGTATGTCCATTAGGAAATTTTCTATGGGTGCAGATTCACGGAGTTTAGTCCAATTATTGTGTGTTGTTACAAAGGTTCTAAGTTGTAGGTATCTATAGAAGTCTGTCTTAGGGAGACCAAATTCACTTTTCATCTGCTCGAAGGTTTTGAAGTTTCCCTCTTTAATTAATTGATGGATATGAGATAGTCCATAATTAGACCAGTTTTTGAACCCGGAATCTAAATTGTTTGGTGTAAATGTCTTTATAAATCCTATATTTGATAAAAGTGAAATCTGCTTTGATAACTTAAAAGCCGATTGTATTGATTTCCAGACTTTAAGGGTATTTTTTGTCCAGGTTGTCATTTCCTTTGCAGGGGTATCTAAGAAAGGTAATGTTTGCAGTGGTACTGAGCATCTGCTTTCTTCTATTTCCAACCAGCGAGTATCTGCACTATTCTGTAGCCATGCTAGTAGGGGTTTAAGTTGTGCAGCCCAGTAGTAATATTTTAAATTTGGGAGTTTAAAGCCCCCCTTGGATTTAGGTAACTGTAGAGTTTTCAGTCTGATTCTAGGACGCTTTTTTTGCCAAATGAATCCAGTTATCATTTTATCTATTGTGTCAAAGGTAGATTTGG